AAAATTCATAGCTGCGTTTAAATAAAGGACATGTGTCACCTTATTTTAATTTAACTCGCAGTCTTAGACAAGGTTGCCCCCTGAGTAGCTACCTATTTATTTTGTGTGCAGAAATTCTCACTGGGAAAAGTGACAATAATTAAATCTTTAGCCATCTCAAAATTGACTACCTGTTGTCCGTTTTACCAAATCCTCCAGCCCTCTTTTAAAAAAATATTGAACAGATTTTCTTTAAGTTTATTTGGCAAGGTAAACAGGTTAAGATTAACAGAAATACGATGTATAATAAGATTGAAGATGGAGGACTAAATATGACCAATATATTGAATTTTAAAGATGCAATTAAGGTTACGTGGGTCAAGAGATTTAAAGACTTGATAGAACAAGACACAAAGTAATGATCGGATCGGATAGTGTAGTGTCATGAACTGAGAGCTCATTAGTAACCAACACATTAGTATCCAATGCAATAATATCAAGTATGTGGCCACTGATGTGGGTTTCATTTATGTGTATGTTAACATCGCCAGCAACAATAATGTCAGGAGAATATTCAGGTGAGGTAGTAGACACATATAGTCCAAGATCTTCAAGGAATAATGGAACCGATTTGTCTGGAGGTCTATACACACCACAAACATAAATATTTCTGCTATTACATGTAGCTATCTGGCAGGATAGGTATTCATAAGATTTTAGGCAAAATGTATGAGAAAAAAAACTGCCAGTTTCATAGATGAACGATAAATCATAGCAATGCCGCAACCCCTCTTGTTCTCACAGGATTTAAGAGCAATTTTATATCCTTCAGGACAAAGGTCAGTTAAAACAGCCCCATTAGAAACATCACTGCCAAGCCATGTTTCTGTGAGAATAACAACATCCAATGATGATTCAATTATAATATCCGAGATTGAATTTGCCTTGTTGCAAGCTGAGCGGCAATTAAAAATACCAAAATTAAATCTGGAATTAGGTTCTGCCTTAAAAATGTTTTGCTTTGTTACTTCTCTGCTTCTTCTTTCCATCTCTGCATCCTCTGAGCTTAATTTTGTATCTAGTCAAACCAAGTGCCTTGATGGTTGACCAAGTCACTGGGCTGAATGTAGGAATAAAGCCACCCCTGTCCAAAGCCACCCAACAATGGATTATACCATTGTAAGGTTGGGGTCCACAATGGGGTGTTTGTCTTGATGCTGGTCTACAATAGGTTTCTGCTGCAGTGCTAGGAGTGTCTTTGTATCAGCTTTTGTATATTATGAATTAGAAACTGGGTGTAGTCTACATAGGCATAAACATCATCAGCTTCTCCTAATGATGCAATTGAGTGATTTCTAGAAGGAAATGTATTTCTTTTTTTTTTTTTAGAGTCAACATTTTATTCTTTTTACAGTGTACCGTAATATTAATTTCCCTTACACAGGCATAAACATCATAGCTTCTCTTAATTAGGCAATTAAGTGGAAATGTATTTTTTTTTTACTTTTATTCTTTTTCTTTTTTCAGTAGTATCAATATTATTTTCCTTTCTTCTTTATTACCAATGACAAGTATCTATTTACTTATAAGTATTTATATTATTTAACATAAAGTATAATATTTTCACTTCCAGTGTATTGATAGGACAATTATTCACAAATAAAAATATAAAATAAAAAAACAGTAACAAATTATTATTTATCCAGTATCATGTGTGGTTCATGTGTTAACATAATCATTTCGATGTCTGTACGTAGTGTACCTTTACAGGCAAACTTTCTACAAGACGAACACTCCCAAATAATAGAACTTCTATTAGACTTGCGTTTAGTATAAAGATGATCATCATAGCTTAATTTGCAACCTCCCTTGTTATTCTTAATAAACTCCATGTCGAAATGATTTGTGTTTCAAAGATGTGACTTATATAACAGATGATGGCCATTGTATAAAATTTAAATGAAAAAGTGGCAAATCTTAAATAAATAGGCAGTGTCTGATGTTGAGTGTGTAGGCAACATAAAAGAGTGTAGGCATCTCTTTGAGCTTTAATAAAGTTCTAAATTTAACAGAGGGAGGTATGAACAAAAGAAATACATACAATGTAAATAGCTTGGATATATATTTTTGCTTTGTTTAATTCATCTACACAATAACTTTTCACACTTTTTATACAGGTATACTCAGCTAAAGCATTAAATTCCCTATCAAACTTTGCTTAAGCCTAAAATACAATAATATACAGCAAGCCTACTTTTACCATTAAATTTTTATTGAGTTATTGAGACCACAATGGTATATTTAAACTTCAAGAACAGTAAATAATTATTTTACAGTATTTTATGTATATATTGGGTTATTCCCTGCCAGAATCCGGAATTGTATGCAGATAATTTTTTTTACCTAAATATTTTTCCAAAAATATTAAGGGATCAGATTATTTTTTTGGGTAAATAATATTTATTTCTTTTAATAAATAGTATTAGGCCTACAATTTGAATGAAAATAGTTATATTCATGAATTATTTGTATATCATTAAAATATCTATGGGATTGTCCTTCAGAAATAAGTCATGATAAATCCCTTCATATGCAGAAGGAATTGTATGCAGATAATTTTTTTTACCTAAATATTTTTCCAAAAATATTAAGGGATCAGATTATTTTTTGGGTAAATAATATTGATTTCTTTTAATAAATAGTATTAGGCCTACAATTTGAATGAAAATAGTTACATTCATGAATTATTTGTATATCATTAAAATATCTATGGGATTATCCTTCAGAAATAAGTCATGATAAATCCTTTCATATATTTTTTGATTAAAATTTTAGAGAAATTACTATTAATTATTGAACTAAAAAAAATGAATAAGTAGGACATTTCGATGACAATGCCTTTATGTTATGTATGGCCAGACAAATTGAATTTCCACAATTGAGTTACCTTCTACTGTAGCATGGGTTATCATATTTTATGTAAGTCATGATAAATTTATGATTGAGAGGCATTTATGTTCCACTATAATCATTAACATAGTAAACACCTTACTTTGATTGCTGTTACTTCTGATACAATTACGAATAATAAATGATCAAAAAAAGTGAGAAAAAGAAAATATTAGTCTTGCATTACAGTATACAAGTATAACAAAAGTAAAGTATACCATGTTTTTTACCTGATAAAATACTGTCTATTAATATAGTATATCAATAGTAATGAAAGTATGTATAAAAACATAAATCAATAATATCATATACAAATTAAAAATAAAAAAACCCACTCAATTGCATCATTAGGAGAAGCTGATGATGTTTATGTCTATGTATACTAGACCCAGTTTCTAATTCACAATACACAAAAGCTGATACAAAGCCACTCTTAGCACTGCAGCAGAAACCTATTGTAGACCAGCATCAAGACAAACACCCCATTGTCCACCCCTACCTTACAATGGCATAATCCATTGTTGGGTGGCTTTGGACAGGGGTGGCTTTATTCCGATTTTCCACTGGGCTAGGCCTATAGATTCCAGGCATGAGTCTCCCAGTTTAAGTAAAACAGCTCTGCTGTACTGAATTGCATATGCATTCACATGCAAATTAGGTGTATTAAAATCCATTCTTGAAAGGAAGAGTACAACTGGGAGTGTCACAGCCCAGAGCATAGCATGTAACCTGCTTTGTCTAGCTAGCATGGTGGCCTAGCAAATACAGCAATCATAATCAGTTAAAGAAATGCTTTGAATTGATTCAAACACTGATAAAATATCCAAAATATAGAACTATTGTATCAGCACATGTGACAAGAGAAGCACACTATCCTGCTGCACATTAATATGCTGGGTAGTTTGACACAGACAAGGTGAGCCATGTCCCCTCCTCTAAGGATGGCAATATATTGAACGTGGCATCTTCTTCTTTGGTGTCTAAGCCATCGCATTCATCTTCGAGCAGCTCACATTCCCGGCCGAACGTATGTCATCGCCGATGTGCTGTCTCGATATTGGTTAGCTCCCCTCCGTCCGACCAAGTGGAGGCTGTGTCTGACCATGGCCCAGCATATTCTCAACACATTCGGGCGTCCCAACCCAGATCTGTTTGTGACTCAGCTTCCGATGTTTTGCTCCCGGTTTCCGGAACCAACAGCGTGGGCAGTGGATGCCCTGTCCATCTCATGGGACGGGTTTTGGGCGTACACCTTTCCCACCCTTGTCGCTTCTTCGGAGGGTGATGGCACTCATCCGTCGCCACCGTAGCAAGGTTCTTCTGATAGCTCCATGGTGGGCCCGCCAGGTTGGTTCCCTCTTCTGCTGAGCCTTCTTTTCAAGAATCCCCACATGTTGCCGGTTCGTCTGAACCTTCTTCAACAGGCCCGGTCGTGGGTCAGCCTGAACCATTTAACATTGCTGAACTTGACTGTTTGGCCCTTATCCGTTCACCCCGCCGATATTCTTGCAGAGGCATGGTGCAGATTGGAGACTACATTTTCATCTCGCTATTTGCGAGATGTTGTCTTGACCAGGCATCTGTGGTGTCGGCTGTCCTGAATCCACCTCTGTAGGTAAGTTTCAAATGTAGCGGCAGTTTGGCGCAGATTCGCTTGTGTCCTTGGGCAAGGCACTTCAGCTTCATTGCTTCAGTCCACCCAGCTGTATCAATGGGTACCAGCAAACTGCTGGGGACTAACCTGCGATGGACTAGTGTCCTGTCCAGGGGGAGTACAACTCTCATCCACTTCACACTACAGAAACTGGGGATAAGCTCGTAAAGGATTTCGTACTTAGGTAAATTTTCTGGTTTCTGATCACACCCTCTTTTTCGCTGTTAATCTGCCAATTAGTCGGTTTATCCAGGTAAATACTCACGAAGTAGACTACCAACATCACCATTGATTTGTGTATTTGGAGTATTCTTATAATTGTTTTATATTTATTTTGGCAAATTACCAAGATAGGATAAAAATACTAGATGTTGGAAAAACTTTAATGAGAATTTGAAATAATTTCTGTTTTTATTAGACTTGCTTGATAACCTTAATGGATGACACTGCCAGCCCTCAGGTTGAAGGCAATGAGACTTTCATTGTTCATCTTGAATCAGCCATGGGATCAATTATATCATTTCCCATGGAAACTACAGTTGTGATTAGTGATACAGAGAGTGATGGTAAGTAGATACCAAATACATATATTTTAGTATATTTGATTTTTTTTTTTTACAATATCGAAAACTTTTGTTTGCCATTTTGTTCAGATTTATTTATAAATTCCATTGTATTTAAAAAAGTGCAAATTTAATCTTGCCTTATAGTTTTTTTCAGTATAAGTGAGATTATAAAAATGTTTTTGTTACCTAGTTCCCACGATGCAGTTCATGATGTCAAAGGTTATAGTGGAAGAGAAGAAGGGCATTGCCCACGTCCCGATCATTAGATCAGGTGACTTATCATACGAATCATCTGTCATCTGCTTCACAAGACAACGTTCCGCTCAAGTTATGATGGATTTTGACGAAAGACGAAACATGGACAGTTCTCGAATTGTCTTCTTACCAGGAGAAAAGGTGAAAAACTGTAGTGTAGGTATTGTTGAAGATGGAACTTATGAAGCAGATGAGATTTTTCAGGTCAAACTCACAGCTCCAATCGGGAATGATGCCTGCAAGGCACGAATTGGAGAGACGAAGGTTTCAACCATCACCATCACAGATAAAGCAGATGGTAAGAATATTTACAGAATTGGTTGTAGAAATGTAGCTGAGGTTAGGAGCATACCTGTAGCCTGTTGCATTTCAAATCCAATATCAATTCCTGTAAATAAGCACAGACTACTCTCTAAGCATCTTGATGAAGCTTAGTTCATAAAGCATCAACATTGTCCTGTAAGGCCTGTTTCAGACTAACATGCTTCAATCACTGCTAGAGAAAATTCTAAAGACTAGAAGGAAACAAAGCCTTGGTGGTTCTATAACCAATCTCATTGTCTTATCCTCCCAAACCTGCAGTCATATGGTAAGCACTTCAGGCCCGTAGCCAGGTCATTTCAAGGGGGGGTTCTCTGGGCGTGGGGTCCAGGGGCCTGCAAAAGGGCCACGGTGGGGTCGGGGGCGAAGCCCCGAAGTCAGAGCAGTTTTTGTGTTTAATGGGTCTATATAATGTTTTCAAAGCAGTTACTGTATGTTTTGAAAAAGATCTATGTAATAAAAAGGTGGTAATATAATAAAATTAGAAAATATTGGCATGTTTAAATAACACCGAAAGATATTTATATAAAAAAAAAACCCTCATCGCACAATCAATATCAATATACTCAACACATTTATTATAAAACAAAAAAAAAGCTATTCTTCTTCTTCCTTCTCTTCCTCTTCCTATTCTTTTTCTATTACTTCTTTTTGTCTCTCATTTTGTACAGTGAAAATAATAGTACTATTTTACTACATGGCTAAAAAAAGCACAAATATTGTCATTACTACTGACAGGGACATCGTTAAATTAAGTCACAGCCCAAAATATAGCATCATATTCAATACATTATCTGACATCATGAGAACCTAATCTTTAATACAATTATTTGTTATATACTAGGCCTAATTCGAAATTATTATTTTAAGACTTTAACATAATAGCAGCTACATACTGATTAATAATAGCTGAGATTTGATGCACATTTTAGAATTAACAATCGTTGTTATTATATCTTCCTGAATATTTATTTTCTGCCAAATGAAATATGAATTATATGCATCTTTAGAAATACAATTTCTACAATACTCATCTTGTTTTTATATAGATAAATGTTCGATAAATTCTATCTTTCATAAAAAAAATTTTCATTCTAATCAATGGCGTTTGTAAACGTGCACTGACATCATCGTCGAATTCCAGGACTTTCGACGGTAAAGCTGGCCTGCCTGCCCAGGTCCCAGGCCCCAACCAATAATAATGAACAAAGTGGTGTTTTTTTTTTAATATAGGCCTATGGCGCATTTTGTACATGCACTTCAACTTTTAAAACCAAAGCCATAGGCCTAGTACGTCCTACTGTACTTAGGCCTACACTAGTTTGTTGTCGTTGGGGTATAATTCTGTCTCTTATTGAACGAGGAGCGAACCTAGCTAGTCAACATAGGGCCTAGGCTAGACTAATTGATTTTGAAATCAATAACCCACCTTAAAGGCCTATCTGTAGTTTTCTTCTGTGCAATAGCGGACGAAAAAAAGTCAGTTATTCTAGGACGTTTCATGATTCTTTATCACTAAAAATTAACAAACACTCGTTTTGACGCACTCAGTTCTGTAGTGTGTGCCTGCTGTTGAAAACAAACTTCCTAGCCTAATTTTGTGACTGGCTATGATGACTGAGATGGACCATGTTGATTTATTAATAATATTTTGTTTGGAGAGTCAAAGGAGAGTCAATTTCCCAAAAATGCTCCATCTGCACATAGTTTAGTGTGCGCTATGGACAGTATGGCTATGGAATTTACTAACCACACAATCCACAATCAGGTGATTAAGTCGCAAAACATTTGGTAAATTAAGTTGCAAAACTTTAGCTTCGTTTGGTGGCACCATTTACTCTAGGTAGATGGCGACCGGTTGTGTTAACGGTTGGTACATTTCTTATAAAAAAACATTCAGCCCAGAAGGCCAGTGAAAGTTGAGACAGGAGCCGGGTTTTTATCGATGTTTGCCATTCTTATGTGTGCCATCGTAAAGTCATGGTTTGCTGGAGTTGTGTTCAATTTAAATCTCCAAACTTCTGAAGCTGAGATATTCTATGCGCAGGCTACAATTTAAAAACGGGTGACCAAATAATGAATTAGGTGCTAAATTTTGATTTAATGCTAGGTAAGTTAAGAACAGACATTCCGTCTGAGTGGGACTCATTAAAAAATTTGAGGGGGTTCGCTAGAAAACAGGGGCGTTCGCTAGAAAAGGGGGGTTCGCTCGAACCATTAAAACCCCCCTGGCTACAGGCCTGCACTTTATAAAGGTTGCCGCTTCAAAACCCTCATAAATACTGTATGAGAATCTGCATCCATTTACTATTTAAGGCTAGACTGCAGACTTATATTTTCTCATCCATCTGATTTAAAAATTTTTTTTTTTTTTATGGTTTTCTTTGTCTCTTCTTTATCTTATTTGTTTCTTTTATTTAACATCTGTTTGACGTTTTTTTGAAAGAACATAGAGATCTAATATTGCGTGCAAAGAATATCTTGATGGTAGCAAAACCTTTCACAAAAATATGCATTTACATTTGCCTTTCTTTAGGATGAAGGTAGAAAGATTAGATTTGTCAAAATGTTTATACATGGTTCATTTTTATATTTACAATTTTCTTTTGTAGCGCCAACTGTTCAATTCAAGAGAATGGCGTATAGTGTCCGTGAGCCTGTAAATGCTGATGAAATCTCATTTGTCACTGTAACGGTTGTACGTACAGGTGATCAAAATGGAACATCCCAAGTACGATGTAGCACTCGTGATGGGTCGGCTCAATCGGGAATTGACTATAATGCCAACTCAAAACTTCTAGTTTTTAAACCAGGTGTGTATAATAACGATGACATAAATTGATTATAATAATGGTGTTGTATTGTAAGTAGGGGTTAAAATACCCTCTTCCATTTCAGGGCCATGGCTTCACATGTTGAATTAAAAATGGAATGTTTTTAATAAATAATATTTAAATATCATTTATGGTTATAAAGGTGAACTTTTTTCAACACCATCATATTTAATGTACAAGTCTTCCTCAATTAAAGACCACTATATGGGATCAGGATTTTCCTGGTTTTATAGCAGCTTTGGTCTTTTAATTAGAAAAATTATTATTATAAAGATAAATGATTGGCATTCACTTGGGACTGCAGAAAGGCGGTCCTTTACTTGGAGGGGTCTTTAATTAGAGGGTGACCTGTATATTTTTTTTTGACAGTGGCATCTTCTACATCAATATTATTACAGGTCTCCCTCTAATAAAATACCTCTTTATGGATGAGGGTTTCCCATGGTCTTTTGCAGCTTTGGTATCTAATTATAATATAAAGATAAAACACTTGTAAATTTGAAACCACAGAAAAAGTGGTCTTTAATTGAAGGTGGTCTTTGATTGGCGGGATCTTTGATTAGAAGGAGACCTGTATCAATATTTACATGCAGCAATGATGTTGGTGGCTAGCAACAACAAATTCAAGGGGAATGAAAATTAATATTAAAAATGGTTTTGTTTTTTTGATTTTACATTACTCACTTAGACAATTATCTAAATCACTTACATATATTCATTAACCACTACAACCATAAGCAGCCCTCAGTGGAGCAATGAGCGACAGAACAATCTGGAAGACCATTGTAAGCACTCTCTCGGCTGCGGCCAAAGAGTATTGTATGGTATAGTATGTATATTTATTAAAATTCTTAATATATTTCATGTTTTTTCTGTACAGGGGTTAGTTCCATTGATTTGCAGGTGGAAGTACTACACAATGAGGACATTGAATGGCATGAAACATTGAGCATCATCTTAGGACCAGAGGAACCAATCAATGCTCTGCTTGGCCTTGTCACCACTGCCACGGTAACCATCATTGATGATGAAGCTGCAGGCAGCACCATTTTACCAGCAGCACCAGTTGTAAGTAGCGTAACAATGTTGTTGGGGTCGGGAGAACCAAGGAAGATTTATAGGCTTGGGGGATGCCCCCACCCTTTTCTATACTTAGACTGAATATTCAGTTTTAGAATAAGATTATGATTGGGTGTTTTAAGACTTGCATTACATTATATGTTTCCACAGTCAAATGAGGCTTGTTTAGAATAAGCCAGTTTAAAAGAGGCACAAAGAAATGGGGCACATTTTTATTATTTCATGCCAATATATGTAGTGTCATTTAAATGACCGAGGTGCAGTATCAATGGTACTGTTCATGTTAATGGTGGGGAAAATGAGTTTTAGTAATTTTTTAAATGAAGCAACCGAGGAACAACTTTCAGTCTGTTTAGGGATTATTATTAGTAGGGAAACAAAGGCAAAAGCCCCAATAGAAAAGTGTGTAGCAGGTATCAACTTTTACTCTCCAATCATCAAGTTATCTAATATGTTAATTGATAATTTTGTATAATGAGATTTCTATAGATTTGTTAATAATTTAAATGTATTGTAATTTAGGTTGTGTCTTTGATGGAATATGGTAACGTGGAGCAAGGACTTGAGAAACAACCAACTGCAGGTTATCCTTTAATATGTGTTACAGTAAGTCAACTGACCAATTAGTAAATATTACATGTTTGTGAAAGTCCACTGACCAATCGATAAACAGAACATATTGTTTTTTTAAAAGTTATGTATAATGTATGATAGGCAAATACATGAACTTGATGTATTCAACTGTTATAATTTTTTGCTCATCATTAACATACCATGGTAAGTACCAGTAAATATATTGTTTTATCATTGGTAGTGGTAGTTTCTATGGTTATTTTAAGTATTATTTACAATAAAATTATTATCTTTAATGTTTTATTATAATTTTATTTACCCAATTTTCTACATTTGAAATATTATTTTATTCTTCACATTATTATTTTATTTAATCTTGTTCATAAAACAATAGTCCACCTTTCACATTTTTTGCATGATTCCTCTTTATACTATGGACTGCTATTTTCAGTACAGCTATATAGATACCTACTGTATATTTGTGTGTAGTGTTTAGATATGGGAATTTGTGGCTGTGTGTTGCCCTAAAGGTTATATTTAACACCATCATAGTACATTTTATTATTGTTTTGTAGCCTTGTGATCCTCACTATCCCTCATACACATTGACTCAAGGAATGTGCAAGAGCTCTAACATCAATGTCTCCAGTATCGTGTTCCATTGGGAGGTTGCAATGCCAACAGATGTTGATGGTTCTAGGCCTCCATTTGAGCGTATTGTGGACCACACTCCATTCACCAGCCCCAACAGTAAAGTCTTGGATAGCGTATACTTTAGCAGGAGGTTCCATATCCGGTGTGTTGCACAACCCTATGATAAAAGCGGCAGGGCCGGAGTTCCACTTAGGAGCAGTATTGTGGAGATAAGTGGCGAAAACAGTGTTTGTCATACGCCAGTAACATCTGGGGATGTACGAGGTTTCAAAGCACAATCGTTTATCACTGATTTAAAATACATTGAACCGGAAGATGCCGATCACCCAAACTCATTACACATCCACATTGAAATACCTCACGAGGATGGCATGCTTCCACTTCTCTCAACGATTTCCATACACAACATCAGGCTTCTTCTCACGGAGCCTGTGTACCGACGCCAGCACATCTGCTCCAACATGCTAAATAGCATAGCTGCGGGACTCAGAGATTACAGCTTTTTGGGCTCGCTTGATTACAAGATGTTAAAATACGGACCAGGTTACGACTACCCTTACCAATTTGACCCAAATATCCGTGAAGAGAAATCCATCAATTTGTATCGACATCTTAACTTAAAGAGCTGTACGTGGAGTTTTGATGCCTATTATCACATGACAGAACTTGTGGATTTGTGTGGTGGAGCAGTCTCAACTGATTTCCAAGTGCGTGATATGGACAAAAGTTACCTGACTGTTACCGTTCCGATGTACGTTTCTTACATCTATGTGATGGCTCCAACAGGTTGGGCTGCTCTTGATCACAAAACGGAAATGGAATTCTCATTTTTCTACAGGTAATTTTTGGGCACTGCATGTCATTAACTGTATCTAAATACGATTGAAGTTCTTAAATTTTATCCCTTTATATTTACCATACGCCATTCCTACTTACAGTTCAATTCTTTGGCGTACTGGACTTGAGACAGACAGTGAAATTACTGGGCGCTTACAAATCATACGAATTCGCATTGGAGAAAAAGGGAACTTAGTTATAGACTTCAAGACAACACCAAAATTTAGAGGTAAGTTATTTATTCATTGTTATTATCGTTTAGCCCCTGCATTTGCCAACTGTACTCATGCTTGATACTTCAATTTGAACATAACATGATGGTCATATGTTGTTAGGATGTTGCCTGAAAGGGTTAATGGATATTTGAAGAGAATACACTTCTGCCAGTTAATATTGAATTTGCATACACATTAGTTAAGCCTGGTCTTCTTAAAATCGCTACAGCATAATCGCTGTACTGCGTAGCACCCCGATGCAATCGGGAAGACTCCCCGATTCAACTGACCAATCAGCATCACCAAATGCTGTCGGCAAAAGCATGTAGAGATTCTATGGAAACCAAGCTTTAAGCATAATAATGGCTCAGTATTATATATGTTGATAATATATTTTGCTTCAGGTCAATTTGTGTTGAGTCACCACACCTTACCAGAGTACAAATCTCGGGTTCTTTCGCCACTTGCTGTTGCTGTGACATTTGAAGTGGAACTGCTTTGGAGCGAGAACACATTTGACGGCCCTGCACAACTTTGGCGTGCCACCAGCACCTTCAATTTAAAGGTAAATTATCTTGAATAATAATTATTTATATTTGGCATTCTAGTGCAATCTTAGGTCAGAAATGGGTATAAGCATCTGAACCAAATAGATATAATAGAATGTAATTCTCTAATAAGTATTAGTTAATTAGTTTTCATTCATACGTATTTATTTTTTGCTGAGTGAATGTATCAAGTTAATAATATTCATATTATATTGCTAGGTTATAAATGAATATATTAGATAATTAGTTTTAGGTCAAATTATTTTATCATTTGTGCATCTGTTTACTCTAAAATTGTAATCATTATTGTTGTCATTATTGTCGCATCAATTAAGTTATAGAATTTTTCATGTTTTATGATAAATACTGAATTTATCATGACTTGTTTGTAATAATGATACCCCTAGCTACAGTGTATTATAGAAGAGGCTTTTATTAAGCCATTGATATGTTTATCAGAGTTCATGTGTATGTTGAAGAACTAATATCTGGGATTGACTCTGAAGTACAGATTATTCACAGAATGACTATCAAACTTAACAATTGGCCAATCAGAACAGGCCCAGCAAAACGGGCAAGGCCCACACACGTTTGTATTGTTGTCTTGTTTGACTGCAGAAAGGCAGGTCTTAGTGAGAAGTTCCCTTGTTGGTGAATATTGGATGACTGCAATATTTACTAAACTGACAAATATTTCTATTTGTTTTTCTGTAGGATTTTTCTGGTGATTATATTATTGAGTTGATGCCTTGTACAGTGACACCTACACAATCTTATAAGGCCAATGAAAACTCTCCCATTATTTGTACAGCCCATCCACCTCAAAAGTAAGTATACACCAACTTGCATTCAAATCCAAATATTTAACATCTTAAAATGCAGTGTTATATCATTTTGGAATAAAATATCACACAGTTGAAACCATATTATGTATTTCAAAAAGCTCAATCATTTTGGTGTTCCCTGTCAGCTAAATTGCTTATTGCTCCTTAACTAACTTTGCCTTGGCCCTGTTTCTTAAAATTTACTTTGATTGGAACTGCAAATCACTATAAATAATTATTATCTGTTTCAAATTTACCGAACATGACACTAGCCTCTGGTATATTATTATTAGTAGACAGACTGAAAGAAATTTGTCTTAAATATTTGCCTTGGAATATTTTACATTGTTTCATTCTTGTGCAGATTTGTCGTACCTATAGCATTCCAGCAAACCAATAGACCAATTCCTGTTATATATTCCCTGAACACGGAATTCCACTTAATGAATAATGAGAAGGTATTCCTGATGGATCCTAACCAAGATTTGATGTCTTTACAGGAGATGGATTATCAAGGATCATTTTCCAAAGGTAAACTGCACTGTTTTTTTGATATACAGTAATTTCATGATTTTGAAAACTGTAGAGTTATTATAGTTTTCAATATTATTATGATTATGAATTTTATTATATAATCAGAAATACATTTATTTGATGAAATTGTACCTTTCAAATGGCCTTTTTAAACTTTAATTTGTATTTTTAAATTGTTAAACAAGGCCTAGTAAAAATAAAGATTTACTCACATAATACTAACCTCTCTGTGATCTTCATATACTTAAAAATTCATCAAAACTCTGACCGCCAGGTGTTTGAAAAAATATTATCAGCCACCGCCAGACTAATTAGCGAATTTTAACACTTTTCCTAAGCTACAAAGATCTTAGCTTTACAATGGTACCAAACACTTTATTGTTTTCACAATTTGTAACCCATAATAGTAAAATGAAAGTGACTCGCTTTTTTTGTTTTACACATATTCACACAATGAAGCTGAACCGTGTTTTAGAATAGGTCACATTGAAATAACGAAACACTTACGGTCCAGACTGAATATAATGTTAAAATTTTTAGTATGTGTCAGTAATTACCCCATCTATCAGAAAAAACCTGAAACACGGAGATCTCCGTGTTTGACGGGCTGAGTGTTTAAAAAAAATGTGCAGGGTAGCAGTTAAGACTAATATCATTTGTGTTATTAAAAATAATACAATATACTAAAGTAAGTAAAAAAAAAAAAGACATGATATATATGTATGTTTTGTATGTATATTAACGCTATTTTAATAATTTCTGTTGACTACATTAATTGATATTGCTTCTCGTTGGAGGTTGTGCTCATGATTATCAACACATATTTTTATCTTGTTTCTTTCTATTATAATTAAACTGTCTATTTATGTTTTACATATTAATTTTTTTTTTTTTATTAATTTGTAGCAATGTACAAAGTCAATTTCATGGAATAATTTCCTGGATAAACCGACTAATTGCCATTTTTCCTAAAATGGAACACCCCTTGAAAAAATAGAACAGTCCGGCCCAGGGTGCCATGTATGAACCGTCCCCCTAACAATAGTCCTCATTCCCTTTTTGACGGTGCTTGCATAAGGAGCTCCCCTTTGTGATAAAGGATTACCTACGTTGAGCTACATGCTCTATAAACAAGATTGCGTTTATTTCTTGCCAGAAGTTTCTTGTTTAGGCTCGATAAACACTCGGAGTGCCCTTTGTGTCATACGTGCAGCAAGGCGGAACCTTGCCAGGTTTGTACATGCTGGCCCCCGACTAAGTTTGTGGCAGCTTTGGATTGGGCAGCTTAGGCTGCCCCACAGTCTACGAGTTCATTGCTGTCTGTATCAGGGGTCGTATTTGTATAGTATGTATTTATGCAATTAAAATGACACAGTATAGTGTTAGTATTTGAAGCATTACTGTTATTATATAATATTTATTTTTGCAGAAATACTGCTAGTCTGTTTTGTGAATACTTACCTGGATAAACTGACTAAATGCCTACTTATAATTACTTAGAAATATAAACATTTTTTTTAAAATCTCATATTATTTAATTTTCCCTTCACAATGAAATAATAATTATTTAAAAACTATTATTATTTGATTTTTAAGATTTATCGGTCTCGTTTCCTCAGGTCAGACAATTTTTGGCCGTGTTTTATGGAACCCAGACCAAAACCTTGATACAGCCTACAGGTTACAGATTGAGAAGTTGTTTTTATGCACGGGCAAGAATGGTTATGTGCCAAATTACGATCCTTCTGGAGAGATATACCAAGAAGGGCCTCAGTTTGGTTGCATGCAAGAATCGCCAAACCTTATGAATCGTTTCTTAGTACTTGTAAGTGTTGTAAATTAATTGTTTTTATTTAAATTTTATACCATGGGGATATTTAAATTAAGGAAAAAAAATAGAAATGTACTTTTGCTTGTGTAGTGGTGTTTAAATGTTTTTTATAAGTGTTGTTTTGGTGGTCCTCTAATATCTATTCCATAGTCATTTTTGACTTAAGGATGCCTGAAGAAGACCCGAGGACGGGTTGAAATATATATGTTTTGAATAAAATTTGTGTTCAAAGTCTATACGAAGTTGTTGACATCTCATCGTCTTTTTCATTGAGTTAGCAAGTGACTAGACATTAACAGAATGTAAAAGAATGCTAGAAAGTACAATTTTTTTGGTGGGGGGGGGGTGGGATGGTGTTTTTATTTTTGGGTCATCAGGATTTGAACTCATCACATATATGAATCAAAGGTTGGCATCTTAACCATCAAACCACAGTTCAAATCCTTGTGTCGGTCTTCCTCCTGATAAAGGTTAAAGGTTATGCATGTATAACGCACAAAATATGACGGTCTTTATGCGAAAATAGCAAGTGAACATATGTAATTGGAAAAGCCAGGAAAGAAGAACTCCAAGTCAGCGCCAAAACTGCAGTATGGATGGTGGGGTCATCATTGACCACAGATATATCAAAATGTACCCTGTCCAGCACCAGTTGAGTGTTGGCTGTCCCAGGATTCAGTATGCATAAAACCCCCAGACTTCTGTCAGCTTGCTCTTCTTCCTCTACCATTCCTCTCAGTGATCACATATTTTGGACATATTCATCCATGTTTTTATATTTTTTAAATAGGATCGTGGGGATCCAGATGCTACAGTGTCTAATTTTCAAGACATACCATTTTTAGCAGAGTTTGCTGAATATAATAAAGACTACACACTTGTGAATCAGATGCCAGGTGTAGATGGATTCACAATGGTTGTTGACCCCCTCTACAGGGTAAGTTTATGTACGCAATGAATACTTATCTGAATAAACCATAATATTTATTTATTTATTCACTTTTGTTTCAGCGGCACACAACAATTTGGTGAATTCAGTAAGAAAGAAAAACAACTAGAGATACTATGTTCAATAGAACATGAACCCACTCATTTTTTGAGAGATAACCACTGTGACCTTTAACCTCAACCTGTGAACACCCCATGTTCTAATGCAACTGGTCCAATTGTTAGTCACTAGCAATATTTGATAATTTTCACTATAGTGACCCTATAGATAAAGAGTAGTTTTTCATATTTAGAAGGCCCTAATGATCATTCCTGGTAAATTCGAGCTTAGTGGGCTTTTTTGAAAATTATAGAGAACAAAAATAACCCTTTAATGACCTTTGACCATAAATCGCTGAACACCATAACGACCCTACCTTATGCCAAAACATATGTGCCCAGGACAAGACTGTGCTATGTTATTTGTGACGAAGTGAAGAAGTCTTTTATTTATTTTTTTGAAAGTTTTTTACCCTAATGACCCCTATGTGACCTTTGACCCCAAGCAGTGAACACCCCATGTATGAGAGGTGTCACCGATTACACTGACCGGGTTTAGTTGAAATCGGCACAACTGTTTGGCACTAGTAGCATTTTGAAATGTTGCCAGAAAAAAGATGAAAATTACCCCTTAATGACCTTTGACCCCTTATCCCTGAACACCCTATAGACCCTGCCTTATGCAAATGTATATGTGCAAAGGACAAGACTGTGCTACATTATTTTTGAGACAAGTAGTCTTTTATACGATTTTTGGTTTGATTTTTTAATGCCCCATGTGACCTTTGACCCCAAGTTTTGAACAACACAAATGGGAGGTGGCACCGGTCCTACTGACCAAGTTTTTATTAAATCGGTCCAGTAGTTTGCCACTAGTAGCCTTTTAAAATATTGCCAGAAAGAAAGAAAGAACTAGAGATACTATGTTCAATAGAACATGAACCCAGTCATTTTTTAAGAGATAACCACTGTGACCTTTAATCTCAACCTGTGAACACCCCATGTTTGGTAGAAGTCTGTCTAATGCAATTGGTCCAATCGTTAGTCACTAGAAATACTAGATAATTTTCACTATAGTGACCCTTGTGAATTTTTACCCATAGATGAAGAGTAGTTTTACATGTTTAGAAGGTCCTAAGGATCATTCCTGGTAAATTCGAGCTCAATTGGGCTATTTTGAAAATTTGACCCCGATGAACCCTATGTAACCACTGATGCCAGACAGGGGTGTAGGAGGTGTCACTGGTTCTTAATGGTCAAATTTGATTGAATTCGGTTCAATCGTTTGCCATTAGTAACATTTTGAACCTTTGACCTATGAACTTTGACATATGGGGTAAAGAGTATTTTTTTTGTGTTTAGAAGGTCCTAAGGATCATTCCTTGTAAATTTGAGCTCAAATGGGCTATTTTGAAAATTTAACCCCGATTACCCCTATGTGACCCCTGATCCCAGACTGGGGTGTAGGAGGTGTCACCGGTTCTTAATGACAGAATTGAATTTGGTCCAATGGTTTGCCATTAGTAGCATTTTGAAATGTTACTAGAGAGAACAAAAGAATAACCCTTTAATGACCTTTGACCAAAAATAGCTGAACACCATAAAGACCCTACCTTATGCCAATACATATGTACCCAAGACTGTGCTATGTTATTTGTGATAGAAGAAGTCTTTTATTCATTTTTTTGAAAGTTTTTTACCCTAATGACCCCTATGTGACCTTTGATCCAGGCAGAAAGAAAGAAAGAAACCAGTCAGCATGCTGCTGACTGGGTAACTAAGAGAAACTAATAGTGTTAAAAAAATTATACTATAATTGTACAGTATATAGTACTGTATAGGTGTTTAAATAAACAAAATCAACTAAATTAAAAACAACATTCCAGAATCCTTTTTAGAAACTTAACACAAAAATTACGGAATCATTCTATAGGCTCCAGCTTATAGGAGGTATACACCATTTTCGCCAAATTTGAAATGAAAATTTCCAAGAACCTGGCAACTACCACTGGGGGGGACTTCAAAAGGCCCAGCATTTCACTCTACATAGTTACAATCATGGACTAATTAAAACGATAAAACAAAATTACTAACAAGCACAAATATTTTCAAATGTAAAAAGAACAAAACGTTGATATTAAAAAAAATCTTAAAAAGCTACTTTAATGTTTAAATACAGTAATTAGCAAAAGATCGTATCTGTTTTATGCTGCTGCTATAGCAAAGGTCTTGCGGCATTATCCGCTGCACGGTGCTCTATTCATAACTAGCCAGCTGCTAAGGGTGAAAAGTTGTGAGACGTTGGTGGCGCTGTTTCAAAATAGACGCAATAAAATGTATATAGAAAATGGCTTGAAGAAGCCAACAAGACATGACTTGCTTTGGTAGCTAAACAAAGCAAGTCAGTGCATGTGGCTTTTAAGTTAAAGTCTACAATAAAACTCGCTCACAGCAACAGAAAATTTAGGCCTGATAAATAACAGGTTGGATGATTCCATTACTCTTTAGGCAAGTTCCCGACTTTTCGTTCTTCATTAAACCACGCCCACCTGCACTGTAGTAAAATCCTACTTAACAAAGACAACCAGTTTAATAGAAAACTGGTAAAAACTTGACAAAACAAAATGGCTTGGGAGCAGTATTTTCTTAAAAGAATTGTTTTCATCCAGTTTTTGAATTCTGTTAGCTTACAATATTTTTTGACTTCATGTGGGTAAATGTTATAATTTTTATTTTCTGAAATTTAATTTAAATTGTATTAACGGAAATGTTGTTGCTAAACTGACCAATCGGCCATGTTTGTTTTGGTCACATGGATAACTTAACATAGATTAATGCACTCTGGTTAACGTTGTCAACGAAGTATATTTTATGAACCAGTCGAATAAGCCCATTGGTTTATCCAGGTGTCGTACTCATAGCCTACCAACATCTTTTCTGATATTGTGTAGTTGACTCTTTACCTTCACTTCACTGTACAGCCTAATAATATGAAACTATATAATGTTGCTATTTGGCTGTACGATGATGTTGATATGCATGAAGGAAAAGGGGATAATGGAGAAAGCATACAGATGCAGTTGTCATGGTGATCATACTTTTATTAATGAAATTTTCATCTTGCATTACTTTTCTAGGTGATGTCTGGCCACCAATGGTACATGCAGGTTATTTATACAATAGGGCCATCAGATGACACCCCACGGTTCAGGCGCTCTCTAATGTCAACAATCAACAAACATGAAGCAAAGAGTGTTGCTGGCAGCATCACAAAAGGGAAAAATGGAACCAACATGCGCGGGTTCACCCTCAATATTGACCAATTAGAGACACAGAACAAAACCAATAATTTAATCACAGCAATTATTATTGTGATTATCCTATTGGTTATTGTCTCAATGATTATTATAGGCTTTGTAATTCGGCGTAAACGTCGGCAAGCGCTTGTCCCACAGGTTGAAACAAAGCCAACCAATAAAGATTTAACAGTAGCTGGTCTATCTGCCAGTAAAGATGAATTTGAAATGAGCTACACCAAAAATGTTAAAGTTAGTAGTTTTAATTTAGATAAACCAGATAATAGAGCAACAGCTGCAAAAATTAAGAAAGTAAATTTAGAAACCAGTCAACGATTATCACAGTCGTCGGATGAAGGTGGTACTGAAGTTTAACTAGACACACATATTGTTAGCCTATTTTTTTAGACTTTATTTTAAATCATATTTAATGAATTTGATGTATTGTACTTGATTTCTTAATTCAGGAAATAATGTCAGTGTGATATTCAAATATAAATACATTATCACCAAATGTGGCAAAAAATAGCCAAACCAGTCACTCGTCGCAAATCCTGTTTCGGAGATAATGGCCAAAACATGCTGGAAAGTCAAATTTTGTGAAATCTATTTTACTGCACTAAACTAACCTATATATCATGGTATGCTGTTGTTTTTCCCATTTTCGGTGTTAAAACAACAATTTTTTAATGATTTGGTGATGTTTTATGCCTGAAAAATGACTGAAATCCTAAACTTTAAAGACTGATTTCTCAAATATTGTTCTTTTAACAGCTGTATATTTAAACTCCTGTAACTTCATAACGAAATGTTGGATTTAAATTATTTTTCACCATTTTATACAGTAGCTCTCATTTTACTGTTTAACCCTGTATTAATAAATAAAAAATTTTGCAACAAGTGATTGATTTGGCTTTGCCACAAATGTAATTTTACTTTGTCAAAATCATGTGAAAGCATATATTTATTTCATGCAAACATTGATAATTTAGTAGATTTATGTTTGAAGGAAGCAGTAGTGGCACCAGAAAGGGGGGGGGGACATCTCCTCCGTCGGACAGGCCTGGACCCTTATCGTCGGATACCATGACGAGGTCGTCAAACCAATAATAATGATTTGCATATACAAATAACGCTATTTTGACTGCCAATATTGTGGTCGAAAAGCCATACTAGCCATAAAAACTCTCCCTGTGAACTCTACCAGGGATATGTCCTGTAATTTTCCCAAATATGGGTAAAATATGACATTATCTTGAATGTATATGCTTGCGATATGCACCCGATTCTACTTAATAGATCTGATATCTAATAGATCTGATAATTATCAGTTTCAGTGACATTACCATTCATGATGCCGTCACCAAACCTGATTAGGGGATTCTGATCAGATGATTGATGACTGGTGCTGTCACCAGTATAGAAGTGTATCAGCATTTTATTTGTCACCGAAACTGATCACTTAGGTAGAATCGGCTGCAATATGGCATCATCATGCCCATATAATGGGAAAATGACACAAGTTTGTGTGATAGTGCTTAACATTACCAATTCTACCTCACTTTTATTCAGTCAATCTGCTCAGTCACCTATTCATGAAATCTTTCAATTAATCTTGGCAACATTCTGTTTAAACAAATACATTGTAACAAAAATAATATTTAATAATTGCATTATGGTGCTCAGTGCAACATTTTCAGAGTACTGTACCTCTGTAGTAAACATTTTGTATTTCATTGGTATTTTCTATGTTTTAAAATTCAGCTCTTGGACCAGTTTAACTGGTGTCTTTTCTATGTACTTTTGAAATTTAATTTATTTTTTCTGCCACAATTGTTGTAAAGACTCCATTTTAAGGTTTATTTTTGACAAGTATTTTTAAACATGTATTAATAGTATTATGAGTATTATTATAATATTAATGAATGGTAACTAAACCAGAGTGTTGAGTTAATTTTGAATTGTTTTCATGTTATAGATAAATTACTATTTTTTAGTTATTATATGCAATTTTGTTTGCCTAATAGATATTTTGGTCGGTTTTTTTGTTTAAAAAAAAAAAATACATGAAATAATTACTATTGAGTAAATTGTATCGAGTTGATATAACAGGGTTTGTGTGGGGAGTCACTCTCTTTAAAGATATAGATTTGTCCTTATACGTGTAGATAGTTATTCTGTAAATATACATGTTAGTGTCTTAACAATCATAATTACTTATATTTATGCATTTAGGTGATTTAAGTAATACAAGTATAGTATTTTAATTACGTTATTTATTATATCATATAATTAATTTGTTCCAACTTTTTATTTTAATACAATGATTTTTATTTTAATTACTTTTTGTGATTTTCATTTTTAAGTAGATGAACATTGATAGAAGGGAATTATTTTGTCTTAGGTGAAATATCTAAATAAGTTAATTCTATACCTGCTTACATGTTTGATAAAAATTCTAAATATACGCAAACCTTAGATATACTGTACAAACACAAAAAACCATTAACATTACTCTGAGTTATCAAGTTTAGAATTTATGGCAAAATCTAAGGTACAAACATTATGGTACTGTATGTTTTCATGTCAATTATTTATTTAATAACTGTTAATAAATGCCAGTTTTGATACTTCTGTCTGTAATGAGTATGGACATTGCTTTTATGTCCAAATTTTGATGTATATTTGTTGTTGTGGTTGACATAGGTGATGATTGTGTCAGGTGATGGCCATCTTTTACAAGAACAAAGGTTGGAAATGTAAAAATAAGTATTTACTTATTCATTGGTACATTATTATAAAAGTAAAGTACAACAAATTAAAAACAACTGCTATTATTGTTACTGTATTATTTATGTTTATTTCTAAACTATACTGGGGAATGTACTGTAAACTGTAGATACTAACTTGTTTACATTTTGCTGGTCTCATGTTTATTGCTTATCAAAAATCACATTTTATTTTATGTTAAGCACAGTGGCGCCTCTATTATTTAATTTGTAGGGGGGTGGGCTAAAATGTCCGACTGGGGGTCTAAGTATTTATAGGTGTAACTATAGCGTGCAGTGTTATCTGAGGGCCGAAGGCCAGAGCCAGGGGTGGGTATTGGAGAGGGGTGTCCCCTCCTCCAGAAACAAGATGTTTTTAAAAAATTGGGATTGGGATGGCCGGAAATGGCTGGGATGGGAAAACTAGGCCTTTTTTTTTTTTTGGTCTGACTGCCCGACGAACTTTGGCCGATGGGGGGGGGCTTGACCAGACCGATGGGGCTTACGTCCCCTGCCCCCCGCTGCCGCCGCCACTGGTTAAGCACCATGCCTTTGTGTGGAGAACTTTTCTGTGTGCGGGCCTTGCCCCTGTTCAGTGTGCGTTGTCGCATCTAATTGCAGAGTTCAATGTTACAAACTAAGTTGTTATGCTCCAAACGTACAGTATGTATGTACAGTTTGGTAGTAAAGCCTTTCTGTGACGCAACTTGCCTTTAATGGCTGTTACCCACAATCAGTTCAAATTGCAATGTCTATGTTGATAATCTTTATGTTACATCAAAATGAGGAAGTTAATTTTAAAAATGATTTTTATAATATATATATATATATATTTTTTTTTTATCGGACAATACATCTTTAATTGTACAGTACGTAGGAGCGTGTGACACAGCGTAAGATGTTGGACTTAATTTTGATCGTGAGATCACGAGTTCGAGACTGATGGTCGTCGCATTGCTTGTGCCCTTGGTCAAGACACTTTACTTATGTTTTACTCTCTTCACCCAGGAGTATAAAAGAGGTTGGGGGTTCATGCTGTTAACCTGCTTGTCAGTGACCCTGCTACAACTGTTCCAGGCAATTAATAACAGCAACTATATTATTATACGTGATTATTCGCTAAAAAAGAAGCTACATGGAAAGGCACCATACACTAATCATTTTTCTTAAATGTATGCATAGCATTTGGAAGCATTTTGCAAGTGGTCCGGCCATTAGGCCTATAATAAGAGAGGGGGGGGGGAGGATATTTGCTGTTCAACTGCAGACCCACTAGAGATTCAGGATTTAAAGTTAGTGGGGTTTAGTGGGCAACTTTTTTTGCAAAGCAACAATTGTTCATGCATATCACGGCATTTTTTAGTTTAACCTAGCTGCAACTGGTTTAAGTGCTTTAGAAAACGCAAATTCCATTTATATAATTTAATCAACTGTCCAAGAAAATATTTAAATGGCCCTACTGCGGATCGTCACCAAAATTTGATCATTTCTTTATTATTTGACCATGAAGAACTACTCTGCAAATATTCATTTTCATCCATTTATAAATGGGACATAAGCAATTTAAATGACCCTCAATTTTACACCATAACATGAATCGTTCCCAACACATAATAATATCTTCCTTGTAACTTGGTTAAACATTCCCGAACGTTTCATTCAGATGAGTTCACCCGTTTTTGAGTCCTCACCGGGAGTAAATACATGTAGTTGGATTCCTAAGTTCTTGTTGTTAATTACTACCGTACCCTGCTGAGCATTATTACTTAGCAATCACAATAATAAATGCACTAAGTTCACAAAAAATAATTCAATATACCTGAATCGAATGACGGCAACTACGGAACCCTTACGAAAGGTGTACTAAAGGTTTGCATAATATTATCCTATAAAACTAAATCAAGTCCTATAGAAAACTATCAAAATCCTATAGGACACCAAACATCTGGTTATATGGGCATATACATAAAGGTTAAGGATCAATATATAATATACATACTAATAATAACAGTGTTAAATATACATATATATGTATATGTATATATATTATGAATCATCATTTCTTGGTTTATATATAATTTAACAGTGGTAATGGCTATATTGATATATATATATATATATATATATATATATATATATATATTATATGTTATTACATGCATGCATGTACACATACACATATATATACATATATACATACATATATATATAATATAAATCATCAAAGGTACATATACAGTGTTTAAATAAGGACATGATGGAACATCGTAGGCTACCCTGTAGCTTTTCAACGAATAAAGTCCTGTAAAAGTCATTGTGTAATAAAATCCCTCCGACGGGATTCGAACCTGCGACCTCTCGCTGACAAGGCGAGTGTCATAACCACTAGACCACGAAGGCTTCATGGTTGAACAGGTTCAAATAACCGTCGGGAACATTGTATTACACAATGCTACGCCGTCCGGCCAGATAAATCTGGCAATACGGCTAGAAATACTGTCGTATATTATGTTAGGCAAGCAGATTAGAAGCTTTTTTGGGGTGGAGGTGGCAATGGAAGTACTACCGGGTAATTTTTATATTTTCTGAAAATATAGGTCTTTGAGAGGTTCAGAACTCAAAATTACCCAAAATCCCTTTGGGGGAACACCTCCAAATTACGCATTCAAAATGGCCCCCAATTTTCCCCTTTAAATTATAGTTTTAGCTAAATTATATAAAAAATAACATTACTCGAATAATAATTATCAACAATTGGTAAAACTTACTCAAAATATTCGTTAATCATCGAAAATGAATCTTGCGTTAAGAAAAACTATAATTTCAGTCACCATAGCAACCGTTGCTATGAAAATTAAATTTCCTATTTTATTCATGAAATTTAATTATACAGGAAACTTAAAGTTTATTATAATCTTCATTTTCATAGGTTTTATGAATATTGTTAACATCTAAATTATCTATTATCATAGAATAGAATTATGTAAAAAATCCTGAAACTTTTGATATAATTTCATAGCAACAATATTTTTTTGTCCCTAGCAACGAAGCAAAATCAGCAAAATTGCCGTACATTTGTCATTGACCAAGCAAAAATCATGAAATACAATATTTTTATATAATAAACATCTCTTATTGAACAAAGTTAACACATTGATGTATAAAATACAAGGTCATCACCATAGCAACTGTTGCTATGCAAATTTAAATTTCCTATTTTATTTCATGAACTTTAAGTATAAGGGATGCTTAAAGCTTATTTTAATCATCGTCATAGGTTTATGAATATTTTTGTATTCAAGTTATGTATTATAGAAGAGCAATATTTAAGAAAACAAAATTAAGAAACACCTTTATTGAAGTGCTATGGAACTTTTATATCTCCATAGCAACGAATGAAATTCACATAATTGCTGTTAATATTTGTCTCAAGTAAAATATTATTAGATTGGCTTATACAGTATTTTTTATACGATAAACTGTCAGCTTTTATAGAAAAAATGTGAAATTAATGGTGTAAAAAATACAAGGTCATCACCATAGCAAAAGCTGCTATGCAAATTAAAATTTCCATAATTTTTCATAAAATAAGTATATAATGAACACCTCAATTTTAGTAATATATAAATTAGTATAGGATTTATGAAAAATGTTTGAAATGAATGAAATTTTATTGTCTTTTCAAATAAATTAATTAGGTCTATAATGCTTTTAATTAAGGTTTTTTTTGTAAATTTCATTAATAAAATATAAAATAATATATAATATAGAAATTTATGCTAAATGTAAATCGTTTTTATTCACAGTAACTATGTAAAGTCAACAGAATTATATTTTCTCATAAATCAAGAAAAACATTTAACTTTTATATAATAACCAGATGGGTAGAACTCATGTACATTGCAGAAAATGACAATATATGTAGATATTTTTGAATAGGTAATGTGGTATCAACGGCAGTGGAGGGGGAGGGGGAAATTGGCCCACCCACTCTTTCTACTGGGGGCCTGGCGGCCCCCTCCCACTTTAGTGACTGTTCCCAGCACCAATGACAAACATTTTAAGAATGCTGCAATGTCATTATTATTATTATTATTATTATTATTATTATTATTATTATTATTATTATTATTATTATTTATTATTATTATTATTAATATTATTATTATTATTAATTATAATAATAATAATATTAATATTATTATTATTATTATTATTAATTATAATAATAATATTAATATTATTATTATTATTATTATTAATAATAATAATAATTATTATTATTATTATTATTATTATTATATATGCCTATATAAGAAGGGATATATATTGATCTGTTATATTATATAATCTTCATAATTTCCCTAATTATTTATTTATAATTAATCTCAATATATATTGATAATATTTAGATACACGATGTTTTCTATGATTTTTTATTATATGGTTTTTTTATTTTTTTATTTTATTTTATTTTATTTTTGCAGGTTTCAAGTGATTAGAAATTGGTGGATAGTTTATCCTCATTCAAGATTGTTGAAAATCATTCGCTTTTTCAAAATCACTTAAAAATCATTCATTACGATTGGCTCATTATCAATAGTGTCAATCAAATTAATTACAAACATAATAACTGACATATCAGGACGCGTTATTTAACAACCATGAATGTATACATAGGCGTATGTCTATTTACAGTTGCTCAGTATAAACAGAAGTTAGTGTTTCGGATATAGTCAGATAATATTGACAATTTACACGGAGAGGCATACCAATAACAGTTTTCCTAGAACCCGACTTCGTTATGATAATATGATTATATTATTATGCGCCGTAAGCGAATATCCGTCTTTATTGTACGACAACACATTTACATACTGCAAATCAAACATTAAATAGTTATAATAACAGATAAATCATGTCATGTGCGATTCCGTATGTTGGTTGGTTGATCTTTATATATAGGGCATAAAGCATATATGGAGGGGTGGGGTTGTTTGTACACAGTAGGCCTACATTGCTTACAGCATTTTTACCATCATCATAATTAGCATCATCATCATCATCGGC